CTATCTAGAACCCAGAAAAATGAATTAAAATAAAACCAATCATATGTATATGTATATATGATTGGTTTTATTTAATTTTTAGTTTAAATATTTAAATATTTTAAATATTTTAAGTATATATGATTGGTTGTATATATGATTGGTTTTATTTTAAATGTATATAAATATGTAAATATGTGTATATATATATATAACTATATATATATATGATTGGTTTTATTTTAATCCATTTTTCTGGGTTCTAGTTTTTTTATTTATCTAAAAAGGAAGAACTCTGTGACTGTAGAATCTATAAATTCACAAACTTCTTCCCAAGTTGATAGTTTTCTTTAAAATCCTTGGTGAGTAAACTGCATTTTAATATTGTTCCTATGTAATAGTTAATCATGTAAAAGATACTTGCTAAAAACTGTTGTTTCTGTACCCATTTTGTTTGTGGGTCACATCTTAGAATCCTCTACCTTAGATAAATTTTAGAAATGAAGTGAGATACCTGCTCCTCATATCCCAAGAAAAACTTGTGCTCTTTAAGAAAGAATAATTAGTAATGAGGTATACCTATCGCCATTTGTGTAGCTAATAAATAAATACTAGTAATAGTTGTGAAGAAGAAAGATGGCTTTTCTCAAGGATGAAAGAAACTTTGATAGAAAAGTTTTCCAGCCTTGGATTTACAATTACTTGTACTAAAAATATGTCATTACACTTTCCAAAGGTTTATATTTCATTCTTTTTTTTTTTTTTATAAGAAAGGGAGCACAAATAAAGACTAGGCTGTTTGGGATTTTTTTCAGGAAGGCAGCATTGTGTGTAATTGGGGCAATACTCATTCATTTATTGGTTTGTTCATTTAGAGTGATCAGAAATTACCTCTTACGATGCTTACCTATAACCTGTTTTTATGAAGCTCACAAAGATAGAGTTTATTTTATAGGTTACCCTTAATTAGAGCTTCCCAAGCTGTGTGCCATGAATAAAGTGGCTGGAGCCTCTTCACTAATAGCAAATCCTCTTTCTTGGTTGTCTTATGAATGTAATTTTTTTTAAGTATGCCTGAGGAAAAAATTGGAAAGCAGTGCTCTACGTAGGTGGCTTTCATACTTTATTGATAATTGAGAAGGAATTCAAAAGAAACACCAGGCTTTGGTTGTTGCCTAAGAGAAATCAAAGCCCTGCCTTTCTTCCAGACACTTGGGGATGGAATGGTCTTTGACAAGGATAGATTCTCAGAACCGTTTTTCTTGATCTATACGAATTGTATCCTCCATTCCTTTCTAAATCTTTATAGCCTTGATTTCTTCCTTTAATTCTTTAGTATAAGTTAGTGTTATCTTGGATCACATTGTTTTAAATGCTAACTAAAATTTAATTTGTGTAGATCATTTTTACTGTAGAGCTCCATCCATTCACATTCCCCATGATATAGAAACTACCTCTTTTGCATTCATTTTTCATTAGATACAGTGGCTTTTCTCTGTTAGTATAACACTTAATATTTTATAAACACATATTATCAAAGTGTTTACCATTCATGTGAGTTATATTATTTGTCTGTTTTTATCTGAATTGTATATGATATGTAAATTTAAAACATTGTATTATAATACACTGTTAAGAGTCTTTTTAAGTAGCTGAATAAACTATTAAGAATGACATTAAAATTTTGCTAAAATATTTACTACTAAACACAGTTTTTAATAACTGTGGGGATCTAAATTAGGTAATCTTAAGTTTATGTAGTAGGTAATAAAATACTGTAAGTTTACTAATTTAATTGAAGTTATGCTTTTTAAAAGCACATTATGACTAAGATGACAAAAATGGAATAGGCTACATAGAAAGACAGTAGAACTCTTACTACAACATCTGGATTACTTAAGATGTTCTGTGGAAACAAGAAAAGGCAGTGTGTTGTGTGAAGGCTAAGTTATAAAATAGCTATCATTATATAAACTTACAATGACAAATGTAATAATGAAATGAAGAAAGGGAAGACAAGAAACATTTCAAGTTTAGGAAGTTTCCAAAGAGATTAAGGAATTGTTTTGTTTTTCAGATTAATAACTAATTAGGTTGTGGATAAAAAGTGGTTTATAAAAATAAGAATGCCTATAAGATAATAGTTCTACTGTTTAGTTTGTTTTTAATGGGGTTTATTTTCAGTTATTAGAGCCTAAAACAAAATTAGAGTATTTGTTTTCTAGGAAGAAAATATAGTAATTATAATATAGATGTAGCTTTATTTAAAATGAGACTCGCCCCCTTTCCACCATGGGAAACTTAAAAAGACCAGGGGAAACATCTTTCTGCCTTGGATTAAACTTTTTAAAAGCACAGAACAATTTCTTGCTTAGCTTTTCCCACTGTGCCTCTAAATTATTCCATTGTGAGACCTCAATCTTTCTACAGAACTCTTCCTCTACTAAAAACCAATTGCAAGGGTCAGCCGAGTGGCTCAGTTGGTTAAGAGCTCGCTCGAGTGCAAGCTCTGAGCATCAGGGTCGCTGGTTGGAATCCTGTCCTAAGCTGAGCTGCTGCTGAGCTGCCAACAGGTGGCAGTATGGCTCAGCTAAAAAAATATATAAAAAATAAAAACCAGTTGCATTAACTAGTTTTCCCTTTAAGATTCAACAGCTCTGTCTCTTGAAAGA